ATAGAACAAGAGCTTGAACAAGGAGTTGTGTTGCATGTTCTGAAAGAAAGGGCCTGATCTTCCTAATGTTGTATAAAGCAAATCTGCAGGACCGGGCAGTTTTAGCAATGTGGTCTGAGAAATTCAGCTTATCGCCAATCACAACTCCAAGGTTTCTAGCTGTTTTTGAAGGAGTTATGGTTGATGAGCCTAACTGGATGGTGAAATTTTGATAAAGTGATGGGTTTGTTGAAACCACAAGCAGTTCTGTCTTAGCCAGGTTGAGTTGAAGGTGATGGTCCGTCATCCAACATGTACTGAATATTATGTCCCCATGCAGTGTTGGAGTAAGGGTGTAGTCTTCATTAATGGCCAAAACATCGGACGGTACTGGGATGCTGGACCACAGCAAGCTCTGTTTCTACCAGGACCCTTCCTCAACAGTGGAATGAACCAGGTCAGTTTATATACATTTCCTATATAAATTTATGTTATATACATTTTATATAAATGTCCTTGATACCTAAGAACTGTTTTTGGTTATGTGTTTGAAGAATTAGTGCAAATATCAATGTTGAACCAGTGGGTTGAATAGAGATCAGTGGTTGAACCCATGTAATATTTTTTATAATCTTAATAAATTATTTGGAATTTTAATGGTGAAATTTGTTTCCATGATAACAAATCAACACAAATTCTGATCATTAACAAATTAAGACAAATTCTGAAAGATCTGTTTTTCTTTTATTCAACAGGTGATTGTATTTGAAGAAGCAGAAGCAGATTTTAAAATCCAGTTTGAAGATTCTCCTGATCTGGGAATGACAGTTGACATTTAATGAACACAATAATAAAATGTTTTATATAAAACAACACAAGGCTAAAGACACAGGGCTGTACCATAAAATACATGAACACTATCAAAGTGCCTGAACAAAAAATGAAATGAACAAAAAGTACTGTTGGATTGTTAAACCAATAATAGCACATTTGTATTAACAGCATTGCTTTGCATTCCATGATATTTCTAAAAACATTTAAACATTCAACTTTTTTTTTTTTTTTAAGTGCAATCTTGCTGGGGACTGTGCGTAATTGTGTGTTAAATTTGTGTTCAATGGAAAATGTTGAGCTTGTTGAGATGACTGACTATAACTCAGTTTAGGGTGTGTTTGAATGACAGCTTCCTTTGTCATTTGCTAGCAAGAAACTTTTTGATTGTCTCCGAACTTGCCGAAATTGGTTATATTAGTGCAATCTTTTGTTTATTTTTTATATGAAAACTCAAATGTTGCACTGGCCCTTTAAGCAACAGGAAGTCAATTTACTGTTGACTGTAGATCCAGCATTATCATGTTGGTTTCCCTTTTTGCAAACACTGAGAAAAATTTTATATATTACTGAAACTGTATTTATGATTTGAGGTTTGTTCAAATGAAACTTGTAGCATTGTTTGTGCTACAGACATACATACTGTACAGTTTAATTGAAGAAGGGTGTGCCGATATCTTTTTAAACAATCAGACTTTTGCCTAAACTTCATCTGGCAGACAATAAAACAGGTAAAAAAAAAATCCAACCTAAACCATATCTATGGTCAGAACATGATTGTGTGATTGTGAAAACACAGATCACATTGGAAGACCAAACAAAGTAGTTTCGCTTTCACAACGAAACACATGGCGGGCTAGAGTGAGCGGAGGCCGGAGGCCTAGAGTGAGTGAAGGGCGGCGGCTAGAGTGAGCGGCGGGGGGCGGGCTTGAGAACGGCGCGGCCGGCGGGCTTGCGGCAACCACATGTGACGACCCCGGGCTGGACTCTGCTTCGTCCACGGTGAAAGCCGATCTGGCGATCCACAGCGCTAAGTTGATGTATTTCCTCAGCGAACAGCCCGGATCAGCTCCAGGCATGACGAAGAGGATATCGTCCTCTTTTGGAAGACCAAACAAAGTAGTTTCGCTTTCACAACGAAACACACAGCGCCTTCACGACATGGCGGCAGCAACAATACTACAGTGAGACTAAAAGTTACGCCTTCTTTCTTTGCGTGAACATTTGGGCGGCGTCATGCAAATCTTCCCACATCGTGACGTAGACATGTGGGGGCGTGTTAGAACGAGCCGTTTTAGGTAGGCGTGGCTGACTCTTAACTTTTATAAAGAATATCTCTTTGGATTTGAGACTTAAGTCTTTGCAACTTTACAGATCTTCTTTATGCACCAAGAGCTTGTAACACTCCAAAGAGAAAGGAAAAATTTAAATCGCATCATATGACCCCTTTAACAACACTGCATCATTATAGAAATGCACTGACAACCAATCAGAACAAGCTTTCATCATTTCAAATACTATTTCCATTCAAACTGTATCTGAACTTCAACTTAAATGAGCTTTGTAAAGCTCTGTTAGATTTGACATTTTCCTGAGCTTTTTCTGGAATAAATCAAGTTCTCGAGTTTCACTTAAATCCTTTTTTAACTGAGAATTACTCTTCAATGAGAGTGTCTTTAGTCTGGAATGCACTACACAACTTTTAAAATCTGGACAATTTTTAAAACACTATGCATCATAAACTTTGACTACTTTATAAATGGTTACAGAAAAAACGAATGAAGATCACACATTAAATATGCAGTATTGCATCTTTACACAGAATTTTGAGCAGGCACAGAGCAGCCTTAACTTGTTACATTCAATTAAACTGACTTCCTAGTTACATATCAGGACACATTTTTGTAGTGCTTACAGAACCTGAATGATGTACCATAAAGAGAAAATAGAAAGGGGGCATGTCCTAAAAGGTTGAAAACCCCTGTTCTAGATACATTTGGTTCTTTATGAGGATACGAGTAAACATGCAAAAAACACAGGTCATTTGCTACAATTTTACTCCCTCTGAAGAAACAAGGGTCAAGTACAAGATTAATTATAATACAGAGGTAATAAAATATTTAGGAATATATATGCCAAAAGATACTAGAACTTTGTCTGATGTAAACTATAGAATCCTAAATACGAAGTTACGAACAGACATTCAGAGGTGGAATGTTATCCCTTTTTTGAATTTAGGGGATAGAGTGAATATTATTAAAATAAATAAGCTCCCGAGGCTTTTGTATTTATTTCAGACACTTCTCGTAAAGATTTCAGAAGAAAAATTAAAAGATTGGGACAAATGGATTATAAGTTTTATCTGGCAAGGTAAAAAAAAATCCAGAATTCTATATAAAACACTCTAGTTACCACAGGAAAGGGGAGATTTGGCCCTCCCATCTCTTGAAGACTATTATATAGCTTCCCAGTTAAGACCCATAGTTTGCTGGTGCAATCCATACTATATGGAAACAATTTGATTTCTCTTCTTTTTTTTTCCCTGAAGTACAGATTCAAGCAGTAATTGCAGATGATAATCTATAAAGAAAATATATAAGTAAAGAATATCCATGGATAACTACTAATCTATTACGAACAATAATATTTTCTTAACTTTCCAAGAATTTAAGAATCAGTTTAAACTGGATAATCATGACTTGTTTAGATACTTTCAAATAAGACACTACTTTAATTCAACATTGAACAAGAGCAGGGATTGGGCACAGAATGATTTAGTGAAGATATTCCTGTCTGTATATAGGGCTAATACTGTTAGTAAGGTAATTTCTACATTTTATCATTGTCTTCAAAATTATAGATCAGATTCTACATCCTATGCAAGAATTAAATGAGAGAAGGAAGGAAACATGATTATAACAGCTCTTCTGTTATAATAATGTTTCCTTCCTTCTCCCATTTGGTTAAAAACATGTAAATCCCAATGGGAAGCCACAGGCTCACACCAGTGGAGGTTATTAGCCTGGAAAAATGTAATTTGATTTTTTATACCCCCTGCACAAATGTGCCATAGTGAAATAGGATCTGGATGTTGGAGACATTCTGACATTGCTAATTCTGAAGTAGCAAATCATCACCATATATTCTTTTAGAAAGACATACACGGGACATTGGAGGCCATATTGAAGATTAAAATCCCATTTCAGTTTCATGTATTATATTTGGGAAATCTGGATTTGCATGAAACAAATTATATCTATGGATATATTGCCGTTAGATATTCCTGGTTGCAGCTAAAAAGGCTATTACTTGTAAATGGCTTCAACATAATCCACCCACTCTAGAAGACTGGAAAGCAATTGTAATTGAAATATAAGCTGGAAACTCTTACTTTTTCTTTCAAATTAAAAAGGGGGCTATTTTATGGAGTAAATGGAAAGAATTTTTGGAGAATTAGTAATGACATAATAGATATTATAATAGAACAGTATTGTAAATTTAATCTTGTAACTATGCAAATTCACTATTACACTGTACATTACCCTGCTGGTTTGTTTACTTTTTTTGTTTGTTTTTTTGCGGTTCTGTTCAGGTTCACGAAGCACTACAAAAATGTATCCTGAAATGCATAGGAAGTCAGTTGAATTTGAATGTAACTCATTTTTTTCTTTCATAATTCTGTATCTTTGACTACCTTGAAATAAAAAATTAAAATTATTACTATCGTATTTTTGGAAATGGACTATTATGAAAGTAGTTCATCATACTTCCATGCTGCCACTCGTGAATCCCTTTTTTCCTTCATTCACAAGCAAGGGTCTTTCTGTCCGGGTATGCCAAACCAGTATCTGAAAAAGATGAAGAACACATTTTTCTGTTTACTTTGACAAGCCTTTTTATTTCCAGCCAGGTTATGAAGATTCAGACTCACGACTGACCTTTGTGCAGTTGGCGGCTTTGGGTTCCAGGTCACTGAGGGTGACCAGGCCCTGTAGCAGACTACTTTCCTGGTATCCACCTTTTACCCCTTTTAACTTAAAGCAGGCTTGAGGTTTGCTGAGGATGAGCTGAAGGTTCACGGCAAACCCGGCCATGTCAATGGCAAAAGGTCGTCGAGGGTCAAACACCGTCTTCCAGCCGAACACTTTGCCTTGAGAGTTGATTTTGGGCGATTCATACCGGAGACCTCCAATGAAGGCGACCGGCCAGACTGACACTTTACGAGTCCAACGCATCTGCGGTATGAGGAAGATTGAATCGGTTAATGGTAAGGACATTATGAATGGTGGACCAAATGGACCATACCTCCTCAAACAGCTCCAAGTTGTAAGTATTGTCATCATCTGCAAAATACACGACTCCTTTATGACTGGAGTTTGGATTGATGTGTTCCCTGAGCCAGCGCAGAGCCAGGTTCCTCTGCATGGTGCCGCGTGGGAAACGTACATTTCTGGGCTTCTTTTGTGTCTTGAGATTCTCAGGCGTCTCTACGTTCAAGTGGGTGTAATTCAGTCCCGTGTTCTCTAGCAATCTGGACACCAGCGCTGTCCTCTGCACTGAGTCCTCCACCACCAGCCAATGAAGGTTGGGGACGTGCAGGAGGGTGTTAGTGAGCCGGGTCAACTCAGCCTTCTGGACGGGTCTACCGTAGGTTGGCGTTATTACGTGAAGAGTTGGCAATGTGTCAGACCAGGGTGGAGGGCGCTGGTGGACATACTTCATCTGGGTGGCCTTAGTGATACGCTTGTTCATGGTGACGCAGGACTCATGAAGACTAAAGCCTCTTTGGTGAGCTTTACTGGCCCCAGTTCTGTTATCTGTCCATCAAAAAAAATATTTTTGCAAGAGTTTAGAGTAGGGACAAACAAAATATCAGTACCATATTGATTTTTGTGCATATTGGATATTAATAAAGAAGACCCCAGATAAAAAGGGAGCAAGCCGAAGGAAGAGAAAGAGAGAGAGAGAGGATATTAATAAAGAACTTTAATGTTTTTTTTTTTTTATTTTATTTTGTGGCTCATCCAGTGTCATAGTACACATCATTTGCCATTCTTGCACAATAGTGCAATATATGCATATGCAAACTTATGTAAAAAAATTACAAAATATAGTTTGCATATGGATTTTTGTTTAGTATTGTATTTCATACATTAGATTTTTATGGCTCATATATGCAATTCATTGCAATTCAGTGATTATTGAGAAATAGACAAATAAACCTTCCTCAAAAGCCTGTTGCATTTGACATTTACTTTTTAACATGAAAAAAGCTGGTTCAGTCCAGTACAAGTACATCTTAAATTATTACTAACAATATAAAAGTTATTCTTTCATTTACATTATAAAAATCATGAAATATTTCACAGCAAAAAATAATTTACTTAATAGAACAAAAGCATAAACTATGAATCAGGGGGTAGAAGGCACGACGTAGATTGTGTACAACAGGTTTATCAGCACAGTTTTGATCATGTTCATAATTTATAGGCCCAAGAAATTTGCATATCAAATATGATACAGTAGGTGTCACAATCTCCAGCTGGAGTGCCCATGAACTTCACCTGAGGGCACTCCACCCCTGACTCTTGCCACTCTCACAGACTACATTTCCCATAATCCTTTGCCGGACTCTTCACTGATTGCCTTCACCTGTGTCTTGTTACCTCATCACTAACACTCTGCTCAGTATTGTTAGCCTGTAGCGTTCCCGTGTCTTTCCGTGTTCCCTAGTTCCTTGTTTTCCTGCCTTATCTCTTGACCTTGGACTGTTCCTTGTTCTCTGATTGCTTGCTGCCTGCCCTGACCATCGCCTGTTATTGGATTACTCTTTTGTCTCGCCCTGGATTATACCTGTTTGCTGTTGTTTGACCCTAGGACTGGGCAGTATATCAAGTTTGTACGATATATCGATATTTTCTTTATAAGCGATTCAATTCGAGGCAATACCGTTTATATCGATATACAGTAGTTTGATACAAGCGCATCTGAAAATATAGCGGAGGACACAGACTGAGCTGCTGCGAAGAAAGTGCATAATCCAGTTTGTTCTAAACATGTGACAAGCTTCATATTAAGGGCTTTAAAAACTGGTAAGACATAGTTTATAGTTTCGTTTCGCATATTAGTTTAAGCGGCTCGCCCCGTCATATGCTCTGACAGAAAGGCTGCATGTGCCGCTGACAGAGACACTACTCGCGCTGTTTAATGTGTTTGAGATGTGCTGTCTTCCTGAATGCATAACTTACATTTCACAGGTATATTCTCCATCTGTAAATGTTAGAAAGCCATGGAAATATTTCCATTTTTCTGTCAGAAGTGCATGAGCCTTCTGCTTTGGGATTCTCCACTAAACTTCACAGACGTCACTTCAGTGAACGAGCGCCGCCGCATGCATGCGCGCCAAACAGACAGAGCTCAATTAAATAGGAGCGCAATAATTCTGACTAAAATATACATTTCACTGAAATATTTGTGACCCTGGACCACAAAACCAGTCATAAGGGTACATTTTTCGAAATTGAGGTTTATACATGGTCTGAAAGCTGAATAGATAAGCTTTCCATTGATGTATTTAGATGTGTTAGGATAGGACAATATTTGGCAGAGATACAACTATTTGAAAATCTGGAATCTGAGGGTGCAAAAAAATCTAAATATTGAGAAAATCGCCTTTAAAGTTGTCCAAATGAAGTTCTTAGCAATGCATATTACTAATCAAAAATTAAGTTTTTATATATTTACGGTAAGAAATGTACAAAATATCTTCATGGAACATGATCTTTACTTAATATCCTAATGATTTTTGGCATAAAAGAAAAATCAATAATTTTGACCCATACAATGTATTTTTGGCTATTGCTACAAATATACCCCAGCGACTTAAGACTGGTTTTGTGCTCCATGGTCACATTTGTAGTTGGACAATAAATGTGTCATGTAGAATTTTAAACCTACAAGTAAGTCTATTTTTATGATAGCACTGACTGTAAAGTGACTAATGGGGTAATCAAATTCAAAATAACCTAACACAACTGTGCTTTTGTTTTCATTTATTTTAATTTTTACGTTTAGTGAATTTAACTTCCACTTTAAAAGCCTTATTTTTGTTTTTAGATTGCAATGTTACAATGTTAGAATTAAATGTGATTTTAACCCTTTTTTGCACATAATATAAATGCTTACATGCTTACGTGGTTACATTCACTTTATTTGTTTTCATAGCCTTTGCTTTAATATGTATTGTTTTGTTGGACAACATTGGGCGGTAAGTGAAATATGTATGTATTAAATACAGATTTTTTAAAATACAACTACAAAAACTACAAAGAACCAAACAAAACGTACCGTTTTATATATATACATACCGTATATCGCAAATTGGCCAAAAAATACAGAGATATGAATTTTTGCCCATATTGCCCAGCCCTATTTGACCCTGCCTGTTTTGGACGATTCTAATAAAGCCTGCACTTGGATCCACTACTGCGTTGTCACGCCTCCACGTTACAGTAGGCTACTATATTCATAAATAGATTATAATCATTGTTTAACACAATATTACAACAAATGTTTACTGTAAATTACAAGATTATTATTATTTTTTTTTTTAAATGCAGCTTAAATATTGTAGCATGCATTGTCAAACAAGCATTCTGTTATCAATCAATTTAAACCTGGGGCATACAAACATCAAAATCCAAAATGTCCTAATAAGATGGGAAATAGCAATAAATTAATTTCCTGATGTCTCTTTATGGTCTTGCCATTTTTAGGGTTAATTAAGTTTTGCATTGCAAATTTCTCATTCACAAGAACTTATTTCTCAACACACTGCCTAGATTTAATGTCTTTCTTGCTGAAAATTCAAACACGAAAAATCGCTTAAATTCATAAATAACAGAAAGAATAATGCATTTCTTAAGAATTCCGATATCTTATTTTTACATATTGAGCTTTCCTTCTTTACCTTTTTGTATTTTCTTTCCTTTCTCTTTATATTCCTCATATTGCATTTATATCCTCATATGGCATTTCACTAAATGCGTACATTCTCTTGTAGCATTTAAAAGTTAAGAATAATGTTAGTATTTACCCTTAGGAACTGGAATCAACGGGTAGCCAGCATGCTGGTGCCAAAATGTGATCAGTAAAGTCCACGGTAATAAAATAAAAAAGAGTACTAAGATGTCCCTTCTTTTCAGCATGTCTTATCTGTGAAAAAAAAAAAAAGTAAAATGTTTTACATTTCAATGAACACTGGTAAAATGAAGCGTTTTACTAGCGGTTTAATTAACTCGCTCAAAGATATATAAGATCAATCAGATGAAGAAAATGCATAAACGTATTACAACGTATCTACACAAAGTGATGCGAATGCGCAAGTGAACTTTAACCTATATATTAGAATCCTCATTCCCTAGTAAAACATTGACGATGATTAACTAATAAATCATAAAATACTCCACAGTATTGTACTGCAATCGTAGGCCTACTCGTTTAATAATAATTCAATTTTTTCAGGAGATCAGGTTTTCAAAGAGGGGTTTTTTTCATACATACAAATTAATATGTATGAATATTCTGTTAAATTGTAGTTTAGTTTTAATTCTGGTAAACTAAAATAGCGTTGAGTAATATTCAATGGCATTTTAGTAAGAGTAAAAATGACTAAAATTAATAAACATGACATGATGAAAATATTTAAAGGATATTTTCAAAAGCTATGACTAAAAACAATGTGAAAATTAACACTAGAACTGGTCTGAGAGTCTAGGTTTTAATTTGATATTATATATTTATATTATATTTATATATTTTAACTTTAATTTAAAAATGTATACACTTTGTTAAAAGACAGTTTTGTGTATATATATGTATAGCCTAACAAGGTGCTGTTTGTTTTGTATTTATTCGTTGCGCCCTCTTCTGGACTATTGATTGAAAAAGCTGGTGTACCCTGAAATAATCTGTCTGTAGAATTCAAATATAATTCGGAATTTCAAAATACTTCATTTAAAAATATATATTTTTTTATTTTTATTCCTGTTGAAAGCCTTACACCCCTTTCCTTTACAGTGGTGCACATTCACCCCTAGAATAGTTTACCAAAATGTTGAATATATGTTTAGGACTACACTACAACAACTACAACGTAGTTGAACTCATTTATTTTGATTTAGTTGATTATTTTCACACATTATATTTAAATATAGGCTTATATTATTTATTTAATTTATCTTACTCTTTTATATTTATTATTTTTATTTGTTTTTCAGTTGAATATTTAAAGTTCAAAGAAATCCACTGTTAAAAAGACAAGTTTTTTTTTTTAAGTTGCAGCATGATTTATAGCATTTGAACTAAGATGAACTAAGTCAGGCTCTTCTTGAAAAAAGTGTCTGAAAAAATTTGATTCTCTGCAGCTCCTTTCCCCAAGAAAATAGGTCAGCATACGCTTTAAAAGGATAGTCTACCCATAAAATACAATTCTGTAGTTTATATTCCACAGAAGAAGAAGAAGAAGAAATACTCATGTTAAATGTGCTCACCTGTGTATATCCCTCTCTCATCATAACCCCGCAGCAGTCAATGTCTGCGTATAACTCCATCAGGATCTGCCATAATTGAGACACATAATCACGTTTAGATTCAGATATCATGAACAGTAATCATTTCATGTGAAATTTCAAATATTGAAAAATAACTACTGAAATATTTTGCAGTGGTTCTCAATTCCAGTCCTCGCGTACCACCGCTCTGCACATTTTGCATATATCTCTTATTTAACATACCTGGGCCCGTATTCACAAAACATCTTAAAGGTGCTGTATGTAGGATTGACACCGAGTGGATGAACTAGGTATTGCAGTCCAAATTCAAAATATTGAAGAGGGTTTTTTCACCCGGCCCCCTCCTCCTCAGACTTGACGCACACGCAGGTTGCCAGATTAATAATAATAATAATAATAATAACATTATTATTAATGTTATATATAATAACATCACAATCGAGTGAAGGGATTTGTGGAAACTGTGGTTCCTAATTATTGTGATCCAACATTTGCCTCGCATTTCAGGATGAAAAGACAAACATTTCAGGTGACGGATAATCCACTTCTTACCTCCAAGACTGTGTTATGATCTATATGACCTTATTATTTTTATTGTGAGTATTAGGCTTATCATTATTGCTGATCACACATAATCCATAATCACATGAAATCATATCATCAATTTTAGAAGAGAACACAGCATCATGGATGTCTGAACCAATGAGCATTATTCTGTGTCGTCAGCAAGTCGTTTCCCATCATGCTTTTGATCAGAGCAGTCAGTGGAGAGCAACTGCGCTCGACTGCACAATCCGACACAGCCGCCTCGCCGTCGCGAGAGTTTTTTGGCACACGT